AGACCAAAACTATAACAGGTTCAAAAAAGAGCTAGATAAATTCATGGAGGTTAAGGGCATCAGTGGCTATTATCCAGGATGGAATGGGAGGGTATCCTTAGTCTCTCTTTACCAGAAGTTGGGAATGAGTGACAGGAGATGAATCACTTGATGATAACCTGTTCTGTTCATTCCCTCTGGGGCACCTGGCACTGACCAATGTTAGAAGACCGGATAGATGGACCGTTGGTCTGACTCGCTATGACCATTGTTACAGATTGCATTCCCATGAATTTTATCAGTTGGGATTTTGTGTGAAAATTTGCAGTCCTTTCAGATGAATGGCAGGCTCATGAGTTCCCTTGAATACCCATCAAATTTTCCTGGTGTTCTGGCTACTATACAGCAGACTGCTGAAAGTGTATGTGGTGACATGCATTAAACATTGTACATTAACTTCTGATCATGCGTGTTTGCACTGTACTCTGAAAATTAGTAATCATGAGAAGTAGTGACTGACTGCTAGAGACTAAAAGTTCTCTCCGTGATCACAGAATGGTTACAGCACAAAGAGTAGCAGTTCACGCTTCTCCTACAGTGCCCTGCCAATTGCCTCATCTTTGAATTGATTAGATCACATCTTAGGTCAAAGGTCTGATTCACCCTTCATGTCTAATTCAGAGAGTTCAGCTGTATGACATTGGCTATGTGTTTACTGTGTCAATGGCTGTGAGATAACGGAGACATGCTAAGTTATCTGGCATGATACTGATTTGGCAGGAATGTACAGTAGAGCAAACGGGATACTTCCTTAGCTTAACATCACAATATGCAATGTTCAGGGCCGATGGTTCCAAGAAGAGGGGATCGGATTGGTACTAATGATACAAAACACTGTATTCATAGGTTCTGAGGTCAGAAGGAACCATTGTGATCATCTAGTCTGATTTCCTGTATAATACAGGCCATAGAACTCCCTCCAAATAATTCCTAGAGCAGATCTTATAGGGAAAAAAATTCCAGTCTTGATTTTAAAATGGTCAGTGATGGAGAATCCACCACAGCCCTTAGTAAGTTGTTCCAATGGTTAATTAGTCTTCCTTTTTAACATGTATGCTTTAATTTCCAGTCTGAATTTGCCTTGCTTCAACTTCCAGCCCTGGCTGGAGATCTTCAGTCTGTGCTTTGTTGGAAGATATTAGGGATATTCTTCTATTCTTTCTTCAGGACCAGTATACATTCTTGATCTTTGCACTTCTGTGTGGAGTTGCCCTGGGGACCAGCTCTGCCACATATACAGATTATAGAGTGAATTGGATTCCTTGTCCACAGCACTTACCATGTTCCAGTGTAGAAATAATCCCTCTGGTTCTGCTGCTTTGTGGGCTTTGTGCTAGTGGCTGAACTTCATCCATATATATCTTGATCTCACTAGCTAATGAAGATATGTTTCCACAGTGCTTAATAGGGACATCCTTCTTGGCTCACAATCTCCACAAGTGGAAATCTCTAAAAGTCTCTTATATTTGGACTTCTGTAAAGATAAGAAACCTCTTTAGAGTCTCCTGCATCCAGCTGTCAGAGACAGAGTTGGAAACTCACACAAGTTCAGGTTGGGAAAAAAATTATTCAAAGCTCATGTGCTTTATAATCCCTCTAAAGCATGTAGATTGACTGCCTCATCAGAACAGCTCTAAATTCTACTTTACTAGCAAGCACTCTTGGTCATACACTTGAGGCCAGCGGATCCAAGGTTACTTATCTAGAGACTGTGTATCACTCCAATTACAGGTTAGTAATTTCCCTCGCAGTCACCAGAGAGTTCCACATGAGTGAAAAGGAATTCCAGACCCCACAGTTCTTCATTATCTACTCTGTTTATCCCACAGGGAAGTAAGAATAACATGGATTTCTTTTTCCCTTTTTTATTTGGTCTGCCAAGGATGTTACCATTTTAAAGCAGCTGTTTTAAGTGTGACTATATCTGTTCAAGAACAGCTGGTGCACCATTGAACAGCCTACAAGCTATCTAGAAAACATGTGAATATATATACCTGTGTGTGTGTGTTTATGTACACATGTACTGATAAGTGATTCCTGGCTATCTGTTGCGTTGCTATTTGTGTTTCTGTTATCTAGTGATGTGGCATTGAAATTAGCAGTGTTTCAGGATAGACTTGATGTAGTCTATTTAATTGCAGATATGTGTAGTTAATATATTGCATGGTGGCAACACCATTAACTGACAACTTTGTTTCACCTACAGTAGAATTTTTCCCCATCTACCTTATGGTTGCTACGCTCTGGGCAAAATAAACAGTCACCTAAGACCTGGAATCTGACCACTCACTCAAAACAATGACTTGTTGAAGATAGCCAGGGCCACAAATAATTCCACAATGGTCCCATCATAGCTTTTTTTTTTTTTTTTTAATTGTTGCTTTGGGGCTTGTGGATTTTCCCTCCCCTTATGAAAGAAACAAAGAATTGGCACTTTAAATCTGAGGATCCCCTGAGATAAGCTAGAGACCTTGGGTGCTGTGTACCAGTCTGTTCCTTGATAGCATCTCCAGGGCCTTATGTGGCTCCCTCTGTTTCCCTAGTCACCTTATTGGACCCAGCGAGAGCTCTTG